AAAAAAAAAAAAAAAAAGAAAGAAAAAAGATAACTATAAGGATAAGCTGGCCAGGCATAGTGGCTCACGCCTGTAATCCCAGCACTTTGGGAGGCTGAGGTGGATGGATCACCCCAGGTCAGGAGTTCAAGACCAGCCTGGCCAACACAGCAGAAGCCCACTCTACCAAACATTAGCCGGACATGGTGGTGCATGCTTGTTATCCCAGCTATTCGAGAGGCTGAGGCAGGAAAATCATTTGAACCCGGGAGGCATAGGTTTCAGTGAGCCAAGATTGTGCCACAGCACTCCAGCCTAGGCAACAAAGCAAGACTCCATCTCAAAAAAAAAAAAAAAAAAAAGGATAAGGATAAGCTATGGCAGAGGCTGCCAAAACCAGTAAGGAGACATGAAGAAGGAACACAGCCTTTGATGGGTGAGAGGGTTTTGGCCTGAACAGGTAGGTAGCGAAGACAGCATTTCTTGGGATGGGCAAGAAAGATGTTTGGAGAGGAAATCAAAAGCTGAGCCTCAGGTTTGTATGTGATTCTGGATAGTTTGAGGTGTGGGTTTGTATCAAGTGGAAGAAGGGGCAGATTCTTCTTCTAGATTCTTCTAGGCTGGGAATAGAAATTGAGCAATAGCTGTTGTTAAGTCAAAAGAATGACTGAAAACATGGAGAGAAAAGGAACCCTAAGGAGTGAGCCTGGGGCCTTTCTTTTACCATTTACGAATCAAGAGAGGTGAGGAGGACCTTACAAAGGAGCCCAGGGAGTTGGTGGCCCAAGAGGCAGAGAAGGGTTAGGTCAGGAGGGAGGGACCAGTGACCATTGGGTTAGCCGCGAAGTCTCTGTAAACTTCAAGTGGAATTGCGAATTGGGGTGGTGGGGAGGAACACTTAACTAATGGGGTGTCAAGAAGTATAGGATAATCTCATTCCTGTGTCCTTGATACCCGTCTACTGTGCAGGATGCCGTTCGCATCATGGCAAAAGACTTGGTGCGCACCCGGCGCTATGTGCGCAAGTTTGTATTGATGCGGGCCAACATTCAGGCTGTGTCCCTCAAGATTCAGACACTCAAGTCCAACAACTCGATGGCACAAGCCATGAAGGGTGTCACCAAGGCCATGGGCACCATGAACAGACAGGTGCGCTTTTCCCAATCCCCCTTCCCACTCCCACGACCCATGGGGACCACACTCACACTCCTACCACTTCCAGCTGAAGTTGCCCCAGATCCAGAAGATCATGATGGAGTTTGAACGGCAGGCAGAGATCATGGATATGAAGGAGGAGATGATGAATGATGCTATTGATGATGCCATGGGTGATGAGGAAGACGAAGAGGAGAGGTATGGGGCAACTGGATGGGAGGGTAGAGATGTTTGCCTGGCCCTCATGGAGTACATAGCCCTCATTGAGTTCTCTCTCTTCCCTAGTGATGCTGTTGTGTCCCAGGTGCTGGATGAGCTGGGACTTAGCCTAACAGATGAGCTGTCAAGTGAGTGCTCCAAAACCTGGGCCCCATTTCCCACCCAAGGCCCAGCCACAGCCCCAAGCCCTCCCTTTGCCTGCGTTACTCCCCTCCCCTGCTCAAACCCCCCCTTTCTCTGCAGACCTCCCCTCAACTGGGGGCTCGCTCAGTGTGGCTGCTGGTGGGAAAAAAGCAGAGGCCACAGCCTCAGCCCTAGCTGATGCTGATGCAGACCTGGAGGAACGGCTCAAGAACCTGCGGAGGGACTGAGTGCCCCCTGCCACTCCAAGATAACCAGTGGATGCCCAGGATCTTTTACCCTAACCCCTCTGTAATAAAAGAGATTGGACACCAGTCTCTGAGCCCATGTGACTTTTGGCCTGATGTGGGACCAGGCTGGGGTCCCTGGGAGGACAAGTATCACCTAACGCAAGAGGCACTTGGTACAAAGCTAAGGGTGGGAGTTTGGGGCAGGGGTGGACAGGCAAAGTCCACCTGGGGTTTTTCAGGGGTTGGGAGCTTGAGGTGAGCTGTGGGCCCTGCTCCATCCCCTCTCAAGATACTGGACTCCCCCAAACACCCTGGTAGGATCTTGAGAGGCCAGTCCTCCATCTGCCAGGCTGTAGTGCCCAACACTGTTTGGTCCAGTGATGATTTAATGACAACATTCGAGGACAGTCCAGACCAACCAACAGAGGCAAGGGGGTGACCTTGAGATTCACACGGGCTCAACTGTAGAGTAACTAAATCATAACACAGGGATGAATGATGTTAAGTGGACTCAGCAAAGGGAGACAGAAAAAACCATATTTGGAAGGTCTCAGTTCACTGTGGTACCATCTGAAGATGAGAAACAGCTACGGCACCGAAGTTTACGAAGTATTCAGTAGAGTGGGGCTAACCCTGCCTACACAGGGCTGCAGGTCACACCCACCCAGTATCGCAAAGGGTACCAAACAAGCCTGTAGCGTGTACATCCTTTGCCCTGGGTGCCCTCCCCATATCCAGAAAGGGCGAGGCGGCAGTCTTCCCCACTCCCTAGGCATCCACACACATGGGCTTGGGTAGGCTGGGGACAAGACCCCCCTCCCTTGTGCCACCAGTGCTTGATAAGGCTGAATAGCAGATACAGTCAATAAACCAGGCCCTAGGACCACAGCCCCCCAACCAGCCAAGGCCTGAGGAACTGGTGAAGTTTTTATTAAATCCACAGAAGTAAAAACCATATCGTGAGGAACTGGGGGATGGGGCCACCAGGGAGTGGGAGTCAGGCCACCAGGGGAGTGGGGATGGGGTGACAAGACAGAGAACAGAGCCAGGCTGGGCTGGCCATGGGGGGCTCCAGCCTCAGGGGCCATCACCAGGGCCACCAGACAGCTCCTGGGAACTCAGGCCAGCACCAGGCAGGCTCATCGGCGGGGGCTCCACCAGCACAGCAGAGAACTTGGTGTCACCGAAGGCCTCGTTCATGCGCGTCTCGAAGAAGCGCTGCAGGCCGATGATGGACTGCACGTCTGCCTTGTCCTGGACCAAGCAGGAATGCAGTGGATGAAAGGGTCCTAGCTCTTTCCTTCACATCTCTCCCTGCCCACAGCCCCTCCATTCCACTGGCTCACCTCAGTTAACTTGTTGAATTGCTTGAACATGCGGCCCACATCCTGGGCAAACTCCTGTGGGGAGCTGTAGGGAGGTGACAACTTCTCCTGCAGGCGGGCGCGGATCAGGGTCAGATCCAGGGTGCCACCGGGCTGGTCCTACAGGCAGAGATCACACATACACAAAGACACACATATACATACATAGGTTGAGGGTGAGACCCGGCAGCCACCACCGCCCCCTCCCCCGCCGACTTTCCCGTCCTAGGACTCACCAGGGAGAAGGTGGAGTCGGTAGCCAACTGATGCAGGGGGCGGCAGGGTTCATGACAGAAGAGAGCCAGCAGAACACGCTCACATTTCTACAAACAGTGTACTGGATGTCACAGCTCTGGGTAGCACCTATAAAGCCTCTCTGGGCAACCCCACCTAAGTAACCCCAGCCCTCACCCGCTGGTTGGCTGGCGAGAGCTTGGCCACCACACCAGTGCTGTCTGCACCATCCAGGCTGAGGCTGCCATCCTCCTCCTTCAGGTCAGGGAGCACATGGCAGAGTGAGCAGCTCCACTCCTCCCTAGGGTGAAGAGAATAAGGGTCTGCACATGATCCTGTCCAGACAGCCCAACACCCAGACTAGACCCACACCAGCCTCACACTCACCCTGGTACATCCTGCAGGGCCGGCAGGTGACAGTCCAGGTGGAAACAAAACTCACACTGGTTGCACATGACCAGATCACCTGGCTTCTGGCAGACACGGCAAATGGTGGCACTGTCATCCAGGGTTCCCGGGCCACCACCTGGGGCTGAGGTACCCTCAGGAGCCACCACCTCCAGCCCTGAGCTGGTGCTGCCACTAGGTGAGGCCAGGCGGGGACCCTCAGCACCAGGACCCTCCGCAAGAGCCATAAGCACAGGTTTGGTTTCAGGGCCCTCAGTGGCAGTAGGAGGGGCTCCAATGGCAGCCTCTGTCTCCTCCTCCTGCAAGGTGGTGATGAGGGGTGTTCAACAGGGTCCAGACCTGGACTACAGGCTTCATCCTACAGCTATAGTTCCTTGGGACAGACTTACCTTGACAATGGCCATACCAGCCAGGGGTGGGGCACCAGGGGTTCCTGCAGGTGCAGTCCCTGGCTGGCCAGTAGCTGCAGCAGCGGCGCCACGTTCAATAACAATAAGGTTGTAGTCCTCAGTGGTACTGCCTGGGAAGACCTTGAAGACGGGTGGCTGGCTGTCAGCTGTGAGGTCCAGGTCCAGGCGTTCCAGGCTCACTCGTGGCACCTTGCGCATAAGGCCGCTCACCTCGCCCTCACCTGAGCGGGACCTGTAGATGCAGCAACCTGGCATGAGCACACCCCTACCCTCCATCCACCTCCACCCCCAGGGGAGGTGCCACACTTACCGTTTCACACCTGACACATGAGGCTCTGCACTTGAGTAGGGATCATCTACTTAGGAAATGGAGAAAGAAGACTGGCAGGTCGGGGTAGAAACAGCACTGGGGCCCTTCCCCACCCACTAGGCAGACCCACTCACCTGACCCGAAGCCATAGCCTTCCTGTACCTCCATGGGCTGTGAACAAAGCAGAGCCCTCTGCCTCAGTGGGACAGGAACCCTGTTGGACCCCATTCCCTGCCCACCCCTTCCTGGGTCCTCTCTCCTGCTCACCTGGCTGCTGCCAGAGCCCTGCTTGCTCAGGGGCCCTGGGGCTCTTGGAGGGGCCATGGGTGCAGGGCCTGTTGAGTTAGTGCCAGGACGCTCTGCCACAATCTTGCCTGCACAAAAAAAAGAGAAACATAAGCAGGTACAGCACATGGGGTAATAACAAAGTAGAGCAAGGTAGAGCTGGGACCCACCGAAGGCCTCGGCACTCTTGGTCCAGGCATTGAGGTCCCACTGAAACTTCATCTCGCCATGTGGCTCCACGGGATCCACAATCATCTTGAGGGCCCGGTGCAGCTGGAAGTAGATCTGGTTGGGAGTGAAAGGGAAGAAAGAATGAGCACACCAACAACAAATAGGGATTTGAGGTACTGGGAGCCACCTGCCTGGAACCCACCAGCTGGAAGCCCACCAGTACACACCAACTTCTTAGAAAGCAGAAGGGCTGTGTTGTTGTCACTCTCCAGAGCCCAAGAGGCAAAGCGCAGAATGTGCTCCTGGTGCTTCTGGATCTTGGTCATGGTCCAGTGCTGCCGCTCCAGGCGCTCCTGCTGCCCCTCAGTAACCTTCTGCAAATGGAAGATGTATGGGGTAAGCAAAGAAGGCAGAGAACACTAGGATCACTCCTTACCCGGGAAAGCATTATCAATCAGCAGAGGGGGCTCAGGGACCCTCTCACTGGCACAAGGATTACCTGGGCATCGTTGACCAGCACACGGCCCCGCTTATTCAGTTCCTTCATGATCTGCAGGATGGCCATCTTGACATCCACTTGCACACGCTTCTGTACGTCAGACACCTGGCGAATCCTAGGGGACACAGCAGGTCAGGCTAGGTAGGGTCTTGCTGCCCTGGGCCACTCCACAGCCCCAGAACCCACACTTACGAGCTGCGAACCTCCTTGGTGCTCTTCTGCAATGTGGCATGTTTGTCCCCAAGGCGCTTCACCAGTGAGGCCAGGAGCTTGCGCTGGTTCCTCACTGCATCCTCTAAGAACTGGTACCTGAGAGCAGACAAATGTGTTCCTGAGCACTAAGCTAGGGAAGGGGTGGCACCCACCCAACCACTATGCCTTGGGACTCACTGGTGGTCCTTGTGGGCATTGAGCTGGCAGTCTCGGCAGGTGAGAGTATCACAGCTCTCACAAAACAGCACAAGGGGTTCATGCTTGTGTACGTTGCAATAGACGGTACGTTCACCATCCCGAGACTTGGCTGGCCCTGGGGAGTCGGAATCATAAGGCTGGACCTTGCCCTTCACCACCCCCAACTCAGGAAGCAGACTAAGTTGGGGCCTCATTTCCTGCCCATTCTGTGACACTGGGCCATTTATTGGGAAGATGTAGAGGGTGTGGCCAGCGAAGAACACAGGCCTGCAAGCCCAATTCCTTGCTCCCAGAAACCTCTGCCCCAACATAGCTGAGAAACACATCCCTTTCTTCTAGCTTCTAGAGGTGACACAAAGGTAAAGGTAAGGACAGCCTCTGGAAAAAGAGGACTACCCCCCCACACACTGTTCCCTTTATTCTCCAAGTGGACATACTCAGAATTCTGCCTACAAACCACCCTGGACTCCTTTTCTTCTCCTTTCATGGTTAACTTCCTCCCTCTTTCGTGACAAGAGAACACCAGGGTCTCTTACAACCCAAGAGCCCAGAGAAAACCTGTAGAGGTTCTCATACTGGGAGAGATGAAATGTCAAACTAGGACCCTCAAAATGGTGGTCACACCCCCTCTAGATCAGGAGCTTGGTGCTCAGCATAATTCCACCCCAAGACCAACACATTAATAACCTTCAAAGCCTGCTTCCCCATTAGAAAACCGATTAAGCATAGTGGTCCAACATACCAACCAAATCCAAAATACGTAGCATCAGGGCTCACTGGGGAAACTGACTTCCCCAGTGCCACCCATTCCTGCACCCTGACCTTTGCTTGGGACGTCTGGAATGTAGGACACTCTGCAGCCCCTGCCTATCCCTCCTGGCTCCTCAGGCCCCACAGCCGCCACTTTCCCACTATCTTCCACCAATGCTGGCCTCTGGGATGGGAAGAATCATGGTATGGCTACCAAAAGGCCCCTCATGGGAGGATTTTGGCCCAAAAACTGGGCTAGACTCAAAAGACTCTCAAGTTCCTTTCCAAATCAAAGCTAGCGAGTGTCTACGAAAAGCTGGAAATGCCAAACCAAACTCTGGGTAAGTCTCTGCCAACTCAAAAGCTAAAACGTTTCCAGAAATCACCATCACTTATAACCCATGGACCCACAAAGTCTCATTTTCCCTAACAGCATCTTATACCAGATGTGTGCCAGGGAACCACAAACCCAGTAAGCCCTTCACACCATGCCTTTCCCTGTTTGCATATTCTGAGCCCTTCAACACCAGGACTGAGAACTCCCTGATAAGCTTCCTCAAACCCTCTGTACCTCCCTGCAGCACATTAAGGTCTCCCCGTCTCCCCATCTCCCCTTCCCACCCCTCCCACCTAAGCCCTAGAGACTACACACCACAACCCCAATTTTCCTGCTTTTGGAGTTCTGCTCTCCGGCCCTTCGGGCGGCACCCCCTGGACAACTCTAGGACCCATCCACCAAATGCAACCAACATTATAAAAGCAACTGAGGGCACACACGGGAAAGCAACAGCCCCCTCAGCCTCACGTACCAGTAGAGCGCACAGTGTGGTCCTTGGTGTACTTCACCCGCTGGTGCGCCTCTACACAGGTCTCACACAGAGGCTCCGAGCACTCCACACAGTAGCTGGTAGCTGGGGCATTATCCTCACAGCTAGTGCAGCACTGCCAGACAAAGGCAGGGTCAGAGAAAGCAAGACAACTTGCTAGATCCACATCTACACCCCAGAAAATACAACCCAAGATTAAGATTGGTCCCTTGACCCAGCCTAGACAGCCCACCCAGAGCCTTGGGAAAGTCGAGTAACAGCCTGGGAGCTGGTATCAAGCTCCTCCTGGGCAGATGCCCCCTACCCAGAAACCTCCCTGTGGTTGCTGCGGCTGGACGCACCTGGTTAGCATCCTGGGCGTCGGTGGCAGCCTTGTTGCCACTATCACGCATGAAATAATTCTCCACGATGTCTTTGGAGAAGCACTGTTGCTTGCACACGGGACAGTCCACCACTTCAAGAGGCAGGGATGTGGAAGACTGTTACAAGTTCCCACCCAAGTTATGGCCCCCCGCATGCCCGTGCTGGGTGGGCCCCCGACCATTACCCCGCAGCGAGCCAGCCCCTCCCCTCCCCTCCCCTCCCTGAGCTCTTTCTCCAACTTTAGTCAGATGTCTCATCTCAGCGGCCAGCTCAAACCCACGTTCCTATGCAGGACCCAGAAAGTACTCCCCGTGCACTGTCCGGGCCCCCATCCTCTTGCCCAGGTGGCATCCTCATCTCTGCACCCAGTCGGAATCAAAGACAGAGAGTAGGGGGAGGGGTGGCCCCGATCACTTCGTACTTACCGGCGCCGTCGCCCGCAGCCCCGCCGTCCCCGGAGCTGTTGGCGGCGGC